TAATTCTCTTACTATTTTATCTTCATATGGATACTTTGATTCTGCAGATTTCCTAGATTTGCTTTTCCCTTCTCCATTATTCATTGCTCTTCAACTTTGCCTCCTTCGTGTGACAGGCATAGTTTTAAACGAGTAGCTAAATAATTTCTTCATCTCCTTCAACGTTCCTTCCTGTCGGATCCAAAATCACACCTCATCATTCGTTTGTTCGATCATAAGTAAAGACGATGACGGGAGCTTGCTCGTAGCGAAGGTAGCCATTTTTTTTCATTTGTGCGCTTCTTTAACCAAATACCGTAAATCCATCGAACTCTCGGATTTAGAAAATCTGGTATTCACAACAAAAAGAGCGAAGTAGAGGATTTATCTTGTTGTGAGATTTAATTGTTCCCTAAATTCTGTTTGGCAGGATTTAGCATAAATTCTTTCAAATCCTGTATAAATCGTATTGCCAAACAGCCCCTTAGGGTTGCACCTTGATTGAATGATATGATATATGATACACTGAGAAATAATGAACTGATGATTTTTTAGATGAAACCAACTGACTTATAACATGCGATATGAGATTTATTAATATTTACATGACTAATATGATTGAGACTGATTTTCATTCGATTTGAAGGACTTACATGATTTGATATATAAAAAACATCATAAAGTGGTTCTATGTCCTTCCTTACTTATACCATGATTTGCATAAATGTTAGGATTGCACATTAATAGAATGAGGCTTGATATAATAATTGAATAAATGATATGACAAACTATGAACATAATATATAATATGAATAATACATGCATATGATAAGATTTATAAGACTAATACCAAGACTTTTGATACATCTAAAATATATGATATACATGATACATTGCAGTTTATATAGAACATGATATACATGCATTGATATTATACGACATGCAAAAATAAATATAGAATTGATATACTTGGGATGAAATATAGATAAAATAAGGTTTAAATCATAAACATGCATAGATTCATCACTTTACCTGTTGTATTGCATTTGGTATGAGTATAAGAATGACATAACATGTTGATCCTTTATATGCTATAAATCTCTGATTCACTAGTGACATTCTTTGTATTAATTTCCACAACTCATATGAATTAAGAATGTTCATATTCACTGGAAGAGCCTTAAAGGGGGAACAAATCTAAATTTTAAATATACTCCCTTTTTTTTAATTCATGCTTGAGACCGTAACATGCATATATTCATGCGCCCACAAGGCCCCCCTTAGCTCTACCACTATTCATATTAACTGTCCCTTTTTCTTACTATTACATATTTATAATTATACGGATTGAATGATTACATATATGTTATTTCTATTATCTTGTATGATTTGTGCAATTGCAGTTTCTGACAATAGACTGAGTTGTTAGCTCATACTATGGTTTTAGAAAAGGATCAGGGCCCATTGGAGTGAAGTTGGTATAATTTTATATCTGGATATATGTATTTTTTATCATAATATATCATAGTCAGATGGCTTAAAAGAAAAACTGATATATTAATTGATCTTCTAACTAGTATAAATGAATTTAAAGAGCACTTATTATAGTGAAATATTTTGATATATATGATTTTTTCTGTTGAAATTTTTATTAGCTAAATGTATTTAGTGGTTATTGTATATAAATTAAAGATAAAATAAGTAATTCTTCTACATTTAGATTTTGGGTTATGACATGTAGCTTGCCATATTAATTGCTATTTATGTTTGAGATTGTCTCAAGTATATAGAAGATGACTTCAAGACCCTTAAAATGTACTCTCTTTTTTCACCATTAAAAATGTACTTATAAATGAAAGCATTTTAAAAATTGTCGCATTTTAAAAATAGTGTGCTAAAAAGATATATTGCATATGTAATGAGCTTATAAATGAATTTATTTTATACTTTAATTATGTAATGCTTTTTTGGTTTTCTTATTTTCTCTTAGAATTGCTTTAATCCTTAGTTAATTGTTTAAACATTTCATGTAGTTTTTCCTTATTTTATTTGTGTGGAAGAATATTAAGCCTTCATTATTTGCATTAATAAAATATATTGATTTAGTTCTCTAATAACCAAACAAGTTAACAGACATAATAACTCAAACTACTATAGCTTTTTTGCATTCTAATTATTTCGAAAACTTTAATTTTTGTATCCTAAAGCAGATTTGGATTATCTTATTTTTAAATTCATTATATATGAAAGCTAGTGAGAATTTCATTTTCCTAGTGAGTGTAGATTAATGGTAGTTCAGTTACCTAATTTTTTGAGCTACCAAAATTCTTCCTCTTTACTAATTTAGTATAACTTGTTTGAAGTGTCTATTTATTGATCTATATGAGGGCGATGGGTGAAGAAGATTATCATATTAACTCCATTATTTTTTTAGAAGCTTACCATTTTTCTTACTTGAAACTTGAAAACCTTTAGTTCTTATAATGATGAGTGGAAGTCTAAAGTTAGTGAAAATTTCATGCTAGAAAAGCTTCATTGTTACCTCAATAGTAGCTCATGAGAATGTGATAGATTGCCTCCACCCAGCTATTTAGTGAAGTAATCCACAACCACAAGCATAAAATATCACTATTGAAAGGTCGTAAAAATGACACTAAGGTTAAGTGTCCCCCACACGGGAAATGACCTTGGGGATGTAAATAGCTAAAACATTGGCTAATAAAAGTATTATGTCATGCATTCATTGGCGGAGGCAAGGGGAGGCACTCCCCCCCCCAATCAAGATATTTAAGATCGGCCGTCCATTCAAATCACTCTCAATTTAATTTCCTATTCATTTACATTTTTTTCTAGGTTTATATTAGCTTAATCCTGTATTGATTCGATCTTAAAGAGATTTTATGATTTATTTTTGTGCAATGAGATTTTTAATATCACGTATTTAGTTAATATATTGAACTCGATCGTTCTAGTAGTAATCAAGTGATTTGATGATTGGAAGTCATTTTGTGAAGAAAAAAATAAACTAATTCACTATCAAAGTTTTATCATTTTTAAAACCTACTATTTTGATTCCAAGTCTGGATGTAAAAATTTGAAGGAAAATAAAAAATAATAATTTAGGCCCCCCCCTAAATACATTTTCTGGCTCCGCCACTGCATGCATTTGATAACTCTTATATCTCTTTGTGAATTTCTTTGCATTATCTCTCATTATTGGACAGTAATAACTTTGTCTTATTATTTTTTTCTTGATGGGCTCTCTATTATAGAGTGATTCACCCACACCGACTATGATGAATTTAATACATTAAAATATACTTTTTTTGTAGATCCAACACATCTTAAGCTTATTTCCAAGGAAAATATCTTTATTTGCTCTTTTTTGTGGAGTCCATTGATACCTTTTGATCAAACTTCTTTCTTATTTCTCAAGAGTGACTTGTGAGAGGTATTTGGATATTGAACTAAATCAAAACTCATCCTAATTCACATTTTTATCTCATTTTTCTTCAATGGTTTGTTTATTAAATTGATTGGTAGATGTTTATGAGAATTACCAAAAATTTCTATCACAACAACTACTTTTTTCTTCTCTCTTTATACATTTATGATATGATACTTCTCAAGCTTCTTAATCTTTGGTCAAACTTTCTTATCATAGCTCCATAGAGTAGAATTCCAAGCCACATATCATTTAATACATGGTTTGATATAAACTAGAACATGCTAAGAGTTTATAGTTTTTTGCGCTCCAAGTCTATAGACAATTTCAAGTCTTACAAGTAAATGTGTTATACTAGGTTTGATTATTAGTTGCCTTAAAATGAATTTTGAGAGAAGATAAGAGTACCACACCTTGTATATTCTTGAGTATGATGCTTGCTTTTTTTATTATCTCTTGATGCTCGCTTTTTTGATATAAAATGACTTAAATTTCATTTGAGATAGTTTTTTATTGCTTTCTAAGATAACTTTTGAGTACAAAAATTTCTTAAAAATAACAAAAAAATAGTGATAAAAAACTATCCCAAACGAAACTTTAAATTTATAAGTTCTTAAGTTAGCTTTTGGACTCAACAACTTGGTTGCTAAACAAACTCGCTTTTATCAGAATGATCATTAATCCCATCCATCAACATCTTCTCAAGTACTTGATTGAAATTCAAACGGCATTTGGTTTCATTTGGGACTGTTTTCTTCTTGCTTTCTAAAATAACTTTCTAGTACAAATTTTTTTTGAATTTGAAATTTTTGTAATAGAAAGTCATTTTAAAAAGTAGTTCGAAAGCTATCTCAAATGAAGCCCAAACTTGATATACATTCAAATCACCATAGAAATTACTTGTGATGTAGCTTGACTTTCATGATGCTTGTTTTCACAAATTTGACTGTTGCTTGATTGATAGGCATTAGGATCACCCAAGAAGAAGAAAAAAAAAAGAAAAATAGAAACAAATCTACAAAACTATGCTAAAATTTTGACAAGTTATACAAACATGCTATATAAATTTTCTGGCTTTACTATACTATTAGGGAATCCTCTGAACCATCCCCCATGCTAATGCTACAAGATGTATAACATGAAGGAAAAAAAAAAAAAACAACTTAATGAATAAACTTGAACCTTATAGAACAGGAGGGAGGGCAAAGAGATTGTCAAGCTACGATACTGTTTCCACATTTAGAGATAGCATTTTCCTATGCCACCTTCCTCTCAATTGCCTGATCTTCGCATCTACTCTTGCCGAGAACCCAATCTTTGTTCTTTGCTTTGCCTTAGATTTCTCCCTCTTCCACATCCGTTGGTCTTCAACATCCTTCTTATAGTGCTTCATCTCCTGAATCACATGGTGATCCATTGGATGAAAAGTTCGCTGGTACGAGATGTGTGCGAGGTAGGGGAGGTTGCACACGGCCGCGACGAAAAGAGTGGAAAGCCAATAGATGGGCGCCGGCGCGAGGGCCTCCACGAGAATTTGACACTCGCTGCCGGAGAATAAGGAATATGAGAAGCCATAGCCAAGCAGGAATATGTACCAGGTTGCAATGCTTCCCCACACGAAGAGGTGTTGAATCCATGTAAAATGGCTCATTTTCATTGCAATCTGCACATTAACAGTCCAGATGATTGCAGTGAACATGATTGTTCCAACCAAAGCCATGTCAGTTGTTTGACCCCCAGCTCTGAAAGGTTGAACATTCACTATGTTAATTGTTAAGAAGAAAATGATGAGAGATGAGTAGAGACCGTTCGCCATCCAACCAAAAATCCTGAACCAGTCGAAGAACAGATTTTTTGGTCCTTGCTGGTACAGTGCTGGAAACTGCATGAAGCATCATGTGGAGATTAGAAAGGTGCTGAGAATTCTCACGAATTTAGGCAGAATTCTTCCTAAACATTTGCTTATAATAGTTAAGGATATTTGATGTGCTCTTTACAGAATCAAGCATTACGTTGAAAACAAAATTTGAGAATGACCCGAAGCTCTCTTTAGGTAGAGCTTCGAGAAATAAAAGAAATTTCTCACTGTATATTTTATTTAGTGGAATTGTCTTTATAATCATAGTAAAGGCACTTCAGAAGTCAAACTTACCTGTAAGCAGACTTCAGAAGATACGTCTTGCTCAAAGACTCCCAGCGATATGACAGGCAATGAGGTTAGAATGACATTGAACAGTAGCATGTACCAATCATCATAGATAGACTGCCCAGAGAAGCCCGCATAAGCCTCGAAGTAGAATAGTGTGAGACCAAAAGCTATATTCTTGTAGAAGAAATAACATATCTGAATGAGATAAGTATCCATATGTAAGAATCACGAAGGAAGCTAAGGCTCAAAACATGAAAAAATTGGACTGAAATACAAAGCAAAGCAAGTGAATCATTCTCTTCATACCATCTGGGCTACCCTTTTATAACACCAGTGGCCATGGACAACAAGAAGTCGCTCAAGAAAACGAAACTGTGCAATAGAGAAGTCGCTGGCCATCACTGCCTACAAAGAGCAGAAAGAAGTAAGAATTGAACAATTTAATATTCAGTATAGAATAGTGGACATACTATCAGCTTAGAATAAGCTTATGAAGTTTTCAAAATTCATCTTAGTTTTTTACCTGCATTCCTTCAACCCCACTGATCCCCACACCAATATCAGCCTCTTGAATCATGCCAACATCATTTGCACCATCACCTATGGCTAGTGTAGTTTTTCTTGTTCCTTCTTTTACCAAACGAGTCACCTAATAGCAAAAGAACCAAAAGATAACTTATACAAGAGATTTGTTGCTGCGATTAATGCATTAGAACAAAAAGTTAAGAAGAAGAAGAAGAAGAAGAAAGCCAAACAATTTACCAGTGCTTTTTGCTTTGGGGAGACCCTACAGCATATTACTGAAGCACAATTAACTGCAAGGTTAAGGAACTCTTTCTTCATATCATCTTCTAAAACATAGCTTAAAGCTTTCCCATCAATGATCAAGGCAAATGCTTCGTGAGGATCGTTCTCTAAGTTCACAGCTTGTGAGGCATTAGCGATTTGCATCAACATGTTCTCTTTTATAGCCTGGCCCATCATCAATAAGAAGAGCTTACATGAAACAAAATTCCAGCAGCTAAGAAACTTTGAATGCTCATCTGAGGCTAACTTTACCTTTTTAGCCTCTCGGCCTATCAATTCAGTGTTCAGTGTTGATATACATATCTGCTTCATGCCCTGTCTTAGCAAACTACATGCGAAGCTGCAAAGTTTTAAAAAGATGAGTAATAATCAATGAATAACAAGGATAGAAGCGAACTTGATAGAGTTAAAAAAGAAACAGACCCTATATTAATAGCAGTTTCCATCTTATCACCAGTTAGAACCCAGATCTTCAATCCAGCTTGTGCTAACTTATCTATACACCTTGGTACCTGAAGATGTCGGAAACGGAGATATCTCAAGAGACTGAGGTTTTTGTTTGGGACGACTTTCTTACTGCTTCTTAAAGCAGTTTCTAGTATAAAAATTTTAATTTTTTACTAAAAAGTTATTTTAAGAAGCACTAAAAAAACCGTCCCAAACGAAGCCCGAAAAGAACATAAATTCACCGATTCAAGCCAGACAAATACTTACTCCTCTCTGCAATTTATCCTCCACTGCTGTAGCACCAATTAGAAATAAATCTCGCTCAATCATATCGGCGACTTGCTCCAGTTTTGATTCTCTGTCTGGTCCAATTGATGTCTTTGCTTTTATAAATTCATTATTCCAAGATGAGTACTCAGCTTCCTCAAGTTTCTTGTATGCCAGTGCTAATGTCCGCAGGCCTGATTCCCCATACTCATTTAGATGCTTTTGAGTATCATGTTCATACATTCTTCCATGTTTAGATAGTCTTTCAAATATTATGCTGCTTAGTTGAAAAAGAATAATGAAGTTTCGTTTAACAGTGAGCATTGCTACAACAGAAAGTTACTTCTAAGCTCTAACGCATCTTCAAGTGCATTAGAAGATTTCAGGATAAAACTAGATCAAAAACTTCGATGAAAAATTAATGGAAGAATACACAATTATACCTATCAGCACCTTTGCAAAGAAGAAGTATCTGTCCTGATTCATCACGTACAACAACTGACATCCTCTTCCTTTGGCTGTTAAATTCTAACAAATTGAGGACCTTGAACTCCCTGAAACACAACTATAAGGTCAAAAAATTGAAACTTGTCCATGATTTTAAAAAACATTTAAAACTTAAAACATGTGATTTTATGTGTTAGCTTAAATGCTAACCTTTCTATGGGATATCCGGAAATTTGCATCTCACGAACAAACACACTTGATTGGGTTCTCTTGCAGAATTCAAATCCAAACTCTCTGGCAGCAACAAGAAATGCCCCTTCATCTGGTGATTCAGCTTCATAGTTAAAAATACCAGTTTCCTCATTTAACTCTGGAATAGCTGTGTGACAAAGTGCAAGGATCCGAAAGAATAGAAGAACGATATCTGCATTTGGATTATTGATCCAGTTTCCTTGCATAAGACGATCATCTACAAAGCTGAAACCTTTGATGGAAGACTTCTTCTCTTTCCTCATCATGGGAGAGTAACCACTGATGGAAACGATTTCGGAAGATCCATATGTACTTGCTTGTTTCTCCCATAAATCCTGATTACTACTCTGCAACGCAAGAGGACTTGAAACTTCTGAAGCCATGACCTTTGCTGCAGCTAATTCTACTTCACTAGAACCTACTCCATATGATATTCCTGCTATAGAACACTTCAAAAAGTCCATTTGGTTGCAAGTCAAAGTTCCCGTTTTATCTGACAAGATTGTATCAACTTGACCAAGCTCCTCATTCAAATTTGATGTTCGGGCATGTGCAGGATTTCCGGAATCTTCATCATATAATTGAATATCTTGATTGATAAACATAGCTTGCAAAACTTTCACAACTTCAATGGAAATATAAAGCGAAATGGGTATGAGATATCCATATAAAATGAGAGCTGTAACCAGATGGAAGAAGCCTGCCGCTACAGGTTTTGAAGGATCATACAACTTTGCATTCTTATTTGGTTGCAGATACCACCATTTTGGCATCCCATACTTTATTTTTACCGCAAATCCAATGGAACTGATCAGTGAAATCAACACAAGAAGGCTAAAGAGTATGTATATTATACTGTCCATTTTCTTTTCTATTTTACTTCTTTTTGAAGGAGATTTTGTTGCATTCTGCATGACTTTAGTGTCATGTCCGGTGAAAATTACAACACCATAAATAAATGAAGTATTCCTAAGCTTCGAATCTCGAAGAAGTATCTGGTTTGGATCAAGTGCATACATTTGACGCTCATATTCAAAATTGCCAACAAATGTATAGAGGTTGGAATTTGGGTCCTCGCATCTGATTGTGCCTGCAAAATCCTTGAAAGCCTCATCATCATCTAGGGGCAGGGTCACTTCCAGTGATCTCTTCACCTTCAGGTTTGTCTCGCCATCCAAATTCATAGTCTCAACATAGCATATCCCATCTTCATAGCTAGATGACAAAAGAAGCAAGTCCGCAGGAAAAAACTGATCTTTCTCAACTTTAACAACATCCCCAACTAAGATATTTTGACAATTCCTATAACCAAACTGACCTTCTCCTTGGTGGATGCTGAACTTCCTCCTGTTGACCTTCACATCCTGCATAAATCTTTGCCAATCTTCCAATGCCTCTTTTGCCATACTGAGCCCAACCACAAATGTTAATGGAGCAATCATGCTCACAGGAGTGAAAGGAGTGATTGGTGTGAGAGACAGGGCTGCAGTCAATAGAAAGTAGAGGTTTGCAACCCGCCGGAACTGTTCAAAGATTGCCTTTGGAAGAAAACTTACAAAATTATACTTGGTGGTGGAGATGTAGTTGGTGGGGTATCTGAAGGGTTTTTTTCGATGAACAAGAGGCTGGTTACAGTGGACGACTCGGGAATAGCCTGGCCCTCTGAGGGAAGGGGAGTTATCCAAGTCTGACTTAACAGAGGGACGAACGCAACTGAAAGAATAGAGCTTGCTCCATCTCAGTTTCTCCTTTGGCCTACCCCTTGCCATCTTCACCTTCCAAGGTTCTTCACAACTTGAATTTAATTTAAGCAATTCAAATTATTTTCAAATTCAAAAACTAGGTCTCTCCCCTTTGCAAAATCAATAACATAATGCCTGAAAATATTGATGGAATGGATTCATATAATAAAATACATCTACTGCCAAAAAAGGAATACTATCACAGCTCTACCAATAATAATCATGGAAAGACTTAGGAAGATCAACCCAATACTAGAATAAAAGATCAATGTTTACTGCTTTTTAATGCATAAACTTGCGGGGTTTTGGATCGTTTTCTGCATCTATTTCAGTTTGTTCTGCTTGTATTTCCGATTCTCTCTCTCTCTCTTAAAGTTTGCTCTTCTTCAGAAACAAGTTTCCCGCAAAATTTCAACTTTTTTAAATAAGAAACCAATGATCTCATCTCATCCAATTGCTCTAAATAAAAATCACGGAATAGTTCATATATTCAAGACTCTGGCAGCGTTATAATCGATAGAAACAAAGAAGGGCTTCCAGCAAATAAGAGAAAGAAAACATCTTTCAGAAAATACAACATGTCATAGAAAGATCACACTGTCTGCGCCCCCAAATCGCCCCAAATTTCCAAAAAAATAACCCGCATTCAAACAAGAACAAGCATCAAAGGGTCAAACCAGTAAGATTACAGCTACAGAAGAAAAGAACCAAAGGGAAAGTAAGATCCAGCTGAAAATGATTCCTGGTTCGATAACTAGAAAGCAAGCTAACCTGGATATCTATAGTCACCACACGGACGATGCCCCGATCTTCGAGAGGAGAGTCCAAACTCCTCCCTCCTAGAGAATCAAAAGAGAAGACAGAGAGAGAGAGACGAAGAGACTTTACTAAGAGCAAGAGCCCGCCGCCCGAGCGACGACCAGGACTACCGGCCCAGTGGAGTTTTAAAAATATAATTTAATTAATTTTCTGTTAAAAAAAAAGCATATTAGCGTTGGCCAGTTCATGGGCGTGTGAAGACTTGGTAAAAATGAGTAGGAAGACCTTCAAGAATGACCTAACCCTGGTGGCCAGCTGGTTTGGTAGGGTTTTTGCCTTCAAAAATTGAACCATATACAAGGTTGGCTTGATTTTTATCAAGCTAATTAAGGTTTTATTTGAAGCAATTTTTTATCATGATCTTTCCGTTGCTTTCAATAATTCTTTTTAGGGAAATTTACATACATACCACTTTATAACATCCTATTTACATATCTAATACCTAAAACTTTAATATTACACGAATACCACCCTATATTATTTTAATATCAAATTTACCACTTACATTTCTTTCCTGCCACCAATATATTTCATTTCTAACACCCATATTTGGTATAAAAATGAACTATGAGTGGTATGTATGTAATATTAAAGTTTTAGGTGTTAAATATGTAAATATAATAGTATTAAGTGGTATGTATGTAATTTATAACTTTTAATTACTTTTCCAAGTCGACTTAGATCATATGGAGTTTCAACCCTAATTTTAGATGGTATTGTGGTATCATTTATGATAAATTTCAATATAAGTACTGAATACAAAATTGCTGGTGCATATTTTGATGGAGTATATGATTTTTTTTTGTTAACTCGATGATGAATTTTGGGAGTTGATACAGCTGAAGTTTTCGCTTAATAAAAAGTATTTGTTGATAAGACTATTGTATGATCTCTAAGATATATTTAATATTTATTCCTTTGAGTTGTTATTTATGAGCTTATATAGATCAAGGTTGATATATGGGAAATGTAAGCTAACCTCAACTTGAAAAATGGTCCAACTAGAAGTCAAACAAAAAAAAAATAATGTTCGAATTGGTCCGTTTAATATACGGGTTGTGTTTGAATCTAAAATTTTGACCTATTTATTAAACGAGATGGGTTCGAGTTGAGCTGTGAACCCGCATTTGACCTGAAAATGATACTTTTAATTATTTTTTTCCTTAAATTCTTTTTCTTTCAGGTATGATCTTTTTATTTTTGATAAAATAACCTAAACTGTAAAGTTGATAAGTTATAAAAAATTTGAAATCAAAATTGGTTGACGGGTCAAGTTGTGGTTCGTATATTTTTAACCCATTTATCAAACTAGTCGGGCTCGGGTTGCCAGTATTTGGATAAAGTCAATTACAAGGTTAGACTCAAACACGACCCATCAACTTATTTTGATACCCCTAAACTTGATTGAAAATTGAGAGTCTCGCTGTAATATTGCTTACATTGTTACAATGCTTATGCTTGTATCATTTTATAAGTTTTTTTTTTTCATTAGGCATGCAAACGAGCTACCGTTAGTCTAATCCCAACTTTGCAAAAAAAAGTCATAAAAGAGAGTACTAAAACTTTGACTATAAAAGAATACACTATTTCTAACCAAGTTAAAGTACAATGGGGAGGAAGTGCGAGCAGCTCAGGTGGTTGAGCGTAGGCGTTGCCTCCCACCTTGCTCCCGTTTGATCCCTAACGTCCAAAAAAAAGGTACAATGGGGAGTTAAAGCAAGAGAGAGATGAAGAATTACAAAAGATAGCGAGTGTGAACAAGAAAGAATGAGTTAGTGAGAGAGAGAGAGAGAGAGAGAGAGAGAGAGAGAGAGAGAGAGAGCAGGTTCATGTTAATGCGCAAGACAGTACACAACCTTTTGGTTGGTAATGCCAATGTTGGAAGTCGCGCAACTCAGCTTGGGTGATTGGCTAGGAGCTTTGGATATTAATCAAGAGATTATGTGTTCAAAAATTGTATGAAGAACTTTAAAAATTTAGCTTAGAAAATAGATTTTTCCTTAGAGATGCACAACATAGGCTAGATAGAGTTGCACCTTAATAGGCTAGGTAGACTTCCACAACCCGCAGGCATGGAGGTGTCTAATAAAGAGAGAATATCAATATAAATGCATGAGAACCTCCGTTGTGCCCTAGCATACTTATTAGGAAATGTTTATATTTCTATGTTAGCTTGATATTTTTTTATTTATTGACATGTACAATAATTTTTTTGTTGTCCTTAAGAGTTTAATTGTGTTCCAAGCTCAAATAAAACTTTGCATGTATGAAAGAAACCTAGAAATATATGTAATTTCTAAGGCACAATCAATTTAAACAATCATCCAATCAAATCATGTCAAATGAGTAGAAAAGTCATGTACTCATGTACAACCTAGGGTTTGCATAAATTAAAAATGGTTGGGCTCCACTAATAACATCCTAGATTCTAATCCTACATAATGATATAAGTTTTATAATGAAAAATTTTTCGGTCTTCACTTCATCGGTTTCTTTCTTTGGGCTCCTTGTATCTGTCGGGTCTAGATATCAAAATGGAAAGAATTCCTCCTCGAAGGGGTATTTCTTTTCTCTTTAAATTTCAAGTTATTTTAATTTGGATCTCCATATGAAGGGAACTCCTCCCCAAAGGAGTATTTCCTTCCTCTTTGGATTTCAAATTGGATACTAAAATATTCTATTTTAAGTAACTTTCATAACTCATTTTAAATTTATATTAATAAAAAAATTAAATAACTCTAATACAACATGCATGGTATCCTAAACAGCTCACATATATAATCATTCAAATCACTAGTAATAATATAATTAATTACTCAAAATTGAGCCACCACATTTACTTGGCAATGCTTTTAAATTTTAAATGGGGCTTAGCAATTTTAGCACCTATAGAAATTTTGTTAATCACTTTTTAATTAGCTATTATAGCTTTACATAAGCATGACTACATATAAAAAACTTTATTGACATATATATCATCCTAACCTAGGAGAAATCTAGCATCCATCACATCATATCATAGGTTGCATAGATAGGCATTCCAGAACACATAAAGCAATAACAACCAACATGCAATGAAATCCGTGTAAATCCATGTCACACAAAAAAAATAAACATGAAAGAAAAACAACCTTGCCTAAATCTAGGATTGGTTGTCCTACCAAGAGAGCTACAGTGCAAGTATCGGGCCGTGTGGTTTGAATGTATCCTAAATTAGTTATTATTTGAATTTTTCAGCATTTTTTTTAGTTTTTTGTAGGTTTAGAAGATTTTAAATTGAGTTAAAATATTAGTACTTTAGTATTCATTTTAGAATGATTTTTTTTTAAGTATTAGAGTGGTTAATTATTGGTTTTCTAAGATCCTAAATTTTAATTCAATGTTTTTGTACTTAAGCTTCAAAATTTAATACACTTATGCTTTTCAAAATTAAATTTATATAAGGTATGAAGGCTCCCATTAATTACTGATTTATGTTTAATTATTTAGGTTGAATAATAACTGCTTTTGTTTACACCAGGGCCTTGAGATTTATGCACACTCTTTATGGCTAACTTATTAGCCTCATAGGCTTGAATTATCTTTGGAGTTATGTTTGATTTAGTTCATTGATTAGTTATTTAAGTTTGTGATTATCTTATTAATAATTTATTAAGCTTATAATTTATGGTTTACATTTCATTAAATTTATTCGTGGTGTTGTCACAATTAATGGGCACAAAAACTTAGGGCCTTCTTAGGACATTTAGCCCATCAACCCGAGGTATTCCATCTTAAAAACTTCATTGATGGAATGTTGGTTGTACATTTTAATTTTATAAACTAATTTAATCAATTTGATTGGTGATTTATTGAAAATTTGATTATTTGTTGATTTTTGGTATTTAATTGAATATTTAATGTATTAAATAAAGGGTTAATTTCTTGACTTTTGTATTTACATTAAGTTATGGAGTTTTTCTATTTTTAATAAATATTAAACCCTAGATATGTAAAATACTAGTGAGTTTGCTGGACATAAAATTTTTTACAATAAATTATAATTTTTTAAAGTTTGGGTGTGTTTTTGAATAAAAGTTAACCAAAATGTTAACTTTTTATTTTTAATGAAATTTGGAAATTTGATATTTTTCATAAATATTAGATCCAGGAATGAGTCCAATTTCATTGAGTTTTTCCAATTTAGGATTTTCTAAAATTAGTTATGTATTTTTAAAGTTTGAGCATTTAATTGAATTATTTAATTACATAATTAGAGATCTTTTTCTTATTTTGTACCATATTGATTTCAAACCCCTTGAATGCCCTCCCTAATATTAGGAATGACCTATATGAATAATTTCAAGTGTTTTGAATTTATTTGGTATTTTAAATAAATTTTAATTATTTATTTTAATTAATTATTGAATTTCATAAATTTTTAAATTAAGCACAATTCTGAAGTGTGATAATTGGACTTTTAATTTTGTCATATAGGTTATTCAATTATAAGCATTTTAAGCTATTTTTGGTATTTTTCTAATTTAATTTGGATTTATTATATTTTTTTGAAATTTTAGACCCCATCAATGGGGATGATTTTGGTTTTACTTAATTTTCTTTTCAAATGAAGTCCAAGTTGAATTTAATTAAAGCTTGGGGTTTAGGATGTTACTAAGTATGGGTGTTAATTGACACAACCCAAAAATCTGACATGAACCTAACTAAAAAATTTCTTGTTATGGTCAACTCGATCCCGAAATGGGTCTTGTTCGAGTTCAATAAATTGACCCGTTTCAAAAATCGAGTCAGGTTCATGTTTACCCATAAACTAGAAATTGTCCGATTTTGACATGAAAACATGAGATTGACCAAATTTTGACCCAAAAATTGGATATTGATCCTTCTTTGACAAAAAAAATTAGCAATTTTTAGTAGGCCCCGAGTCATTCAGGTCATGTCGGGTTGACCCAGCCTCGAAGCAAGTTGGGTTCGGGTTGACCTGAGTAGTGCTGGGTCAGTTCCGGGTTTGACCCAAACCTGACCCGTGACAAAAAATTGACACCCCTATTACTAAGTTCTTTGGTTTAAAGTTCATTTCTATTGAGTATGTGTAGAATTTCTTAAGA